TGGCGCCTGCTCTAAGGTGTCCCTGCTCCGGCTGCGGGGACAGCTGGCTCTGCGACCCCAACAGCCGCCACTCGCAGCCTTATCTAGAACTGGGCCGCAGAATTTTCCGAGGAAGGATGCCATCCCTGCGTCCCGCTTTCTAGCCCGACTTTGAAAAGCTGGGCTTTCACATTCGTCTGTGTCGGTATAAACCAGGCTGTGTGTGGAATTTGTTTTTACAATTCGAGTCTTGTGACTTCTCAAGCACTTTATTGAAGTGTTTTCTCTGGAAACTTGTTTCAAATGAGGGCTGTGAGTTTCACAAAGAGGAGTGTTGTTCAGGAGCCAACAGGTGACGGGGTGAAACCTGAGTCTGTGTGTACATTGGAGTCAAGTCTGGCTGCCGTTTCCTCGGGCTGCCGTGGAACACAGAAAATCAGAAAATCAGTAGGAGACTGACGGGAACACGATTTTGAGAAAATATCTGCGTCCCCTATCGTGGGAAATAATTAGCTCGAGAACTGTGCCTCGCTCGGTGCGCCTCCTACCAAGGCATGCTTTTTGGATTTGGTCTGTATAGACCAGTTGGCTGCCAAATAACCTGACCCTAGAAGCGTCGCTCTGGCAAAGGACCAGGCTTTGCCATCATGTTTCCTGCTTTTGTTAAGCAGTCTGTTACTGTCGTGGAATGTATTGATGCATGAAATTAGAATGCTTTGAACGAGTTCCACGTTTCCTCTTGGAAAAATGGATCATTCCTTGGCCATTGGGTGGGACTTGACAGCCCACTCAGCTGTTGGGAATTAGGCGAGTTGGATGGAGGTGTACTTGGAAAATCAGAAAAGAGCTAAGGACAAGTGGCCTCCTGCCACAAATTGCTGGTATGAAGTTCTTTTATCAGAGGAATGTTGTGAAAGCAGTATCTTTTGGTAGTAGCTTCATAATACTTTTATTTTCCAGTATAAGTGAAATTGAATTGGACTCTGTTGGTCACAGCTTTTGTTTAAGCAACAATAGGCCTTGGCTGCTCTTGGTGTGTGTGAAAACTGTAAACAGGTTACAGTCTCGGGGCTCTTTCCTGGACTAGTTAGATCTTGAGTATAGTCACTTTTTACCTTTTGGCTTGATTTCAGCTTTCCGTTAGGATGTCGTGAAGATGGAAATGTGTTTGTAAGGGTTAAGTGTTGTATATTTGTGTGTGTTGAAAGGACTGGAAGTGTTACAGGTTTTCGTACTACCACATCAGTCCTGTAGTTAAGTTTCATTTACCTGCATATTCGGCTTGGAAGAATTAGGGTCACTTTTGAATGGAGAACCTGTGATCTGTATCTTCTATGCACCAAAGCCTTGTAAACAAGCCTTTAACAAAGAAGTTGTTAAATAGTTTGTGGCCCACAGGGTGGCACTTAGCAGCAGGGGACACCTAGGGAATGTTAGCCTAACGGACTTCACAAATCAGTATCTCTTCAGAGTTTTTGGTGATCAAAGGGTTTCTAACTTCCCTGGGCATGTTCACACCAGAAAGGCTTTTTTTTTATTGGGGGGGTGGCTGTGATGCCATGGCAGTCTTCACATAGGAGCTAATGCACAGTTCCCTTGCAAAAAGTTCTTGTAATTAGGGATATGACCTTAGACGTCATATTCAATGGCAGACACTGAAGATTATTCTGTTTTCTATTTGCACGATTTTGATTTGATTTGGTGACTTGGACAAGAAAATGATGAGTAATAAGAATCATACCAGAGCTGACGTCCAGTAACTGCCTCTGATGAACTGATTGAACTCATTCTCCTAAACTCCCCCAAACCCCACTTCCTCCTTAGTTGCCCTATAGTTTTTATGTATTGGCATGTCATCTTTCAATCACCCAATACTAGAAACTATACCTTTGATACAGTTTTTTTTTTTTTTTTAAAAAAAAGAATTATTTTACTTAACTTTATTTATTTAAATGTGGCCAGAGTGAGAGAGAGAGAAAGTGAAAAAGCAAGCCACCAGGTCTGGGACTCAAACCACAGTTGGCAATGTGGAAATTCATTGGCCTTAACCATCACTCCACCTGCTGGCCCCTTGATTCAGTTTTCTGCTTTCTCATTAATTCCTTTTTTTTTCCCTTCTCAAGCCACCATGTCTAGGCTTTTGCAGTCACTGTGAGCTAATACCTGTCCCCTGTCCTCCCCTACCTTTCCTGATCATCCCTATCATATTAATCTTCATCTTTTTTTTTTTGAAAGGTTTTTGCTATAGGGCACGTGCACTCGCCAGGAAGACAGAGAGAGACAGAGAGACAGAAAGCGAGAAATCACCCCCTGGGGGATGACCATGCTGCAATCCCTTCTCCTCTCGGGATCTTGGGCACGCACACACACGCACCCGGCATGAGTTTAAGCCACCAGTCCAGGATTCCAACCGTGGTCAACTACATGGGAGTCCAGCGACATAGTCATTACGCTAACTGCTGGTCCCAATCTTCTTAAAGACCAGAAATACTTGTTGTACTCTCTACTGAGTGCTTTTTGTTCTTTCTCATTGCCTATAGAGTCAAATCCAAACACTTCTGTCTGACACGAACAGGTTTTGAAAATCTGATTCATGGGAACCAGCAGTTAGCGTAATGGCTATGTCTCTGGACTTCCACATAGTCGACCACGGTTTGCGTCCCAGACCCAGTGGCTTAAAACTCACGCCAGGCGCATGTGTGTGCATGCCCAAGATCCCGAGAGGAGAATGGAGGAGAAGGGATTGCGGCATGACCATCCCCCCTGGGGGGTGATTTCTCGTTTTCTGTCTCTCTGTCTGTCTCTGTCTGTCTGGCGAGCGCACGCGCCCTATAGCAAAAACCTCTCAAAAAAAAATCTGATTCAGATATCATTGCCATCTATTGACAATGCTTCTTTGAAAGAATCTTTTAACAAAACGGTCTATTCTTCACTGCTTCTTAGCCTTCTTAGACTATTCTGACTTGCTAAACTCTTTTTTCCTTTAAAAAATTTTTTTTTGCTATAGGCACATACACCTGCCAGAGAGAGAAAAGGGAACGTGAGAAATCACCCCAGAGGGGAAATGTCCATACCTCAGTCCCTTCTCCTCCATTCTCCTCTTGGAATTTTGGGCACGCATGCACACACACCTAGCATGATTTTCAAGCCACTGGGTCCAGGACTCTTACCGTGAACTTGGCCATATATCTAGCCACTTTAACTTCCATGCCACCTGCTACCCCATGGCATACTAAACTCTTTAGGGGAAGATAGTCAAGGCTCATTTACGTATATGTCAGAGCCAAAGTAACATGCTTTAGCTATCAATACAGTGTGCAAACCGGTAGGAAAAAAGTGAACAAAATATACAAAACAATAAACTGCTTTTTCGTTTGACTTGCACCTACATATCCTGTGCATTCGGTTCACCAGTGATTATTGTGCTTATTGAGGAATGCATACTTTTAAGCAAACTTTTTCAAAGGGTAATTGCCTAATGTATATAGGATATTGGAAGCAGCAGATTTCTAAAGGGAAAGACTACTTAAGAAGAAGCAGAAGTAAAGAAATCAAAACACCGTGAGAGCGGAAAGAAGCACACCTACAGAAAGCCTGTCATCCTCATGATTTTGGGGTGGGGGGCCATGGAGTAGGGGACAACAGCTTTCCGTTGTATGATAATCCTAAGTATCCAGTTCTAGTGAGGACCTGGGTTCCAGCTCATACCCAGCAAGTTGGCTGGATTCAAGCTCTTGCTTATTGAACCTTGAATCCAGTATTCTTCTGCTGTCTTCAAAATGAAAACAAATGATTGGGACCAGCAGTTAGCGTAATGGCTATGTCGCTCGATTCCCACGTAGTCGACCGTGCTTCATGTCCCGGACCCGGTGGCTTAAAACTCACGCTGGGCGCGTGTGCGTGCGTGCCCAGGATCCCGAGAGGAGAATGGAGGAGAAGGGATTGCAGCGTGACCATCCCCCCTGGGGGGTGCTTTCTCGCTTTCTGTCTCTCTGTCTCTCTCTATCTGTCTGGCGAGCGCCCGCGCCCTCTAGCGAAAAACCTCTCAAAAAAAGAAAACAAATGATCATCCAAAG